ACAGGCCAAGGCTTCTGGGTTCACATAACCCCGTCAGCTGAGTAGGGGTGTCGTTGGGTATGTACGGAGTTCTCACTTTAATATAAGGCAGAATAATTTAGTGCTTAGTCTAGAATGGTAGCAGAGGTGCTACACAGTGGGGAAAATCTCGAAAAAAACGAAGTGAAGCGGTCAAAAACCTGCAAAAGCCGTTTTTTCTACGTGGCACAGATGCGATTTCGGACGAGTTTCCCGTTGGTTCCGTGCCAATTACCGCTACGATAGATACTGCTGCATGTATGTACTCATATATCCATGCAGCACCGGTGGGCATTCAGGTCGGTATGTTGCAGCTTGATAGGGCGCTATAAAGGGACCTTCCATAGAAAAGATGCCACGCAGCGCCTGCTCAGGAGCGCGGTATTGTGTCCTGCTAGGCGTGCCAGTCCTACAAGTCTTGGGGATTTATCATGCCACTTGCCTTTAGACCAGTCAAAGGTTGACAGAAACTGCTCTGATCTTTACAGAATGTGTCAACTCTTGACGAGTAATCAATAAAATCGATACTTTTCAGCGTTAGCATTATTCGATCATGTGAACGCATTGTGTGGAAGTTTATCAGAATTATGTACCCCAGCTACCTGTCAATACATGAGCTATCCGGGAACTGCGTGAGTTAATCACTTTCAATTAATAGGTTTTTTACTTGTAAAGCTTTCTAGTTGCATGGGTGCAATTTTGCATTTATTGTAATATTATTTTGTAAATATTCAGGTTTTATCTTTTTCAGCAAAGCCTATTATATCGATGAACGAGGAAAGAGGCATCTCTATTCAGCGATGCAATATATGGATTGTGTGATGTCATTTTGTGAAAAGGCGAGCAGAAGTGAAGAATTATTTCCAACCAAATACGGTATGTTTACACGTCATGTATTTGCGACAATATCTCTTACTGTAACACGTGCGACTTTTAGTGCTTGTTTATAAAATGACGTATGTTTGCATTTCTCTGTGGCCGTTTCAATAGCAACAGCTTTTTATTTCTCATATCTTCGATCATTCCTATCGTGTCACGCGATGCTGAAAATAGCATGAGAAAATTGCAATAAAAAAGCGCAATCAACCAATCGATATTTGTTTTCCAGGTAATCAATTTTCGGGTGATTTCGAGTCCCATATCCGACGGGTTATCCGCCTACTATGGCACTGTTGCGGGCATTTAGCATCGAAACACTGGGATGAATTGGGTGAGTAATACACCAGGAATTCCTTGTATGTTATCTTACAAATATATTTTTTTTCTTTTTTTTCCGACGCTGTTAGAGTAATATGGGACATTTACATGCAGTAATTTGGGCTGATTGTAATTCCAACGTCGCACGAAGATTCCTTACTTTTCCGAGGCCGAGGGAAGGACGCGCAAAGACGGGCACCCAGGGTAGAAGGCATCGTTAGCCCTTCTCCGACCCCTATCTACCACCTTCCTACAAGTTCCAGCTTCCTACCAGTTTTTGACGACCCAAAAGTTTTCCGATCGGGGGCGTTGTTGGGGGTGGGAGTGTAGAGCCACTGTGAGACAGGAAAAATCACGACAAGTCAATGTCAGCGAATACTTTTTTAACGCGGCAGATTTCTCTCAAAGGCACATATGACCCTCCCCTTCTCCCATCAACGACAAATACGACCCCTCTCCCGAGCGGCGAAGTACGACCCCCCCCATGTGTTTCACACAGCGATGGTGTACGCTGAGGGCATCTACGGTCTTGCTCGCTGCGGATGCAGGGGCGTGTCAATCGGGGTGTGTTTGGCGCGCCGCCAGACCGTTCCCCTTTAGTTGTTGAAGATGGCGAGCAACGAAAGTTGTTGAAAAATGACTGGTACGAGCGATACGATAGTCTTATTGTTGTCGAAAGAATAAAAGAAAAAAAACGGGCTGGCACCGCGCCAAATCCATCCCGCTTTGACGCGCCCATTATCCGCAGCGAACAAGACTGTAATCGCCTTGAGAAAAATTTCTCCTCAAATTTCCACCCTCTA